AAAAAAAAAACAAAAATATAAATATATAAATAAATAACGATATTATAAAGTATAATAGACACCGCGCGACAACTTCAGCGCGATAAAGTTATTGCGACACTCGCTATCGGCAACGGCGACAAATTAATTGACGTTTTTTTACCCCCTCCGTGAGTCGCATGGGTCTGTCATACCCATGCGACTCGTAAAGCATTTTTTTTCTAAAAAATGAGCGTTGCTATGCAAAAAATTTTAACAGCATGTTATTCTAATTAAAAAGTTTGAGGAATATTAATTTTTTCAAATTTTTCAAAAAATATTTAATAGTAAAAAATTTTGACTAAAAATCGCGTCGGGTCTGTCAGACCCATGCGACTAACAGAAGGTTAAAAATGTTCATATTATTAAAGGTTTAAATAAATCTACCCTGTACATCCATTGCACTTTTTAATTGGCCACAAAAATTAATTTTTGCTTAGGGCATTGCAGAGCTTAGGACCATCTCTACTTATTGAAATACTGAATCACAAAGCTTTTTAAGCTTTGTGATTCAGTATTTCAATGGTTTGCTAATGGTAAACAAACAACAAAGACCTACTACATCTGGACTTCTATACATTCAAATGATTGTGTAAAAAAAGCTTTTATTTCATCATCACGTTATTATATACTTTTGTATTTATTTTATATTGAGGCCACTTCGTTGTTTGCTCGGGAGGAGGCTCGTTATACCTAGATGGCATTGCCTTATCATTTGACACAATGCTGTTTTGTTATCATTAAAATCTGAAGTTTTAACATATCTACAAGACACATTCTTTCGAAGATATCATAAAGGATTAAAATGTTGGTTTATGAAGATATGTTTGAAGAAAATGAAGGAGGAAAAGATAAGGACCAAATAACTACTGGATAACATAGATCTACTTTTCTGCAAATATATTTAATTAATTATGGAATTATGACGACACCTAATACCTCCCTCTAGGACAACTTATTTAGAAATTAATTAAATATAATCACAGAAAAGTAGTCAGATATTATCCAGTAGTTATTTGGCTTCTCACAAATATATTGGGTTTAGAGATGTTTGTATATGGATAAGGACCATATATAGAATAAAGAGAGTTGAGAAGGTTGAGATAAAACTAAAGTTGTCAGCAATTATTGCTCCAGAGTTTACGGAAGAGGTTGAAAGAAAGATTGACTCAATATATGAATACAATAGGAATAAGATTAAACTGAGATACGCTAAAAAGATGAAGTGGATATTGAAAAAGCATTTAGTTTGTTCAAGTATGGATTATAAAATTAGTTTGAATGTGGATAATATATTAGGTAACCAAATAAATAATGTCATTTTTGAAATGTGACTAAAAATGCTTGTATTTTTTAATAATATAAAATAATATAAATATTTTTTAATAATATAAAATAATTTTATTCATTAAACCAAACTTGATAGTTAGCGTTCAAAAAAACTAGAAATTTGAAAGTTATATTTGTAAAAATCTGCTGAGGATGAAAGGAAAGTCCTCCTGAAAAATTTTGGAAATTAAAATTGAAGTTATTTTGATTCCTTGAATGAGGTTTGAAGCTTTATAATTTATAATATAGTTATAATTTATAATACAGTTCAAAATAAAGAACATTATTTTGAACTGTAAGACTAGATATCTGCATCCATAAATTTCCAGTATAATAAGTCCTGTTAATATATAGAAAGTACTAGTATACAAAATAAATTATAAATAGTTAAAAAGGACAAAAAGGCATAATAATTAGAGATTTGAAGCTGTGCATTTTAATAATTTCTGAAACTATTAAAAGCATAAAAATTAGGTTAGTTGTTATTTTGTTTTAAATTCAATACCAAAAATAAATGGCAATGTTTATACACAATTTGTTATAAAATCATAATTTTGCTTACCTGTTGAGCAAATCCCAAAGCGGCTGGAGTTGCTGATTCTGGAACTGTGCTCACTAAATCAGCATTAACGGGAGCTTCTATGGCAAGCTGGCGACCACATTCTTCACGAACTCCATAAACCATTCTACCTGTACGGTATCGGTCAGCAAATGAATCATTGTAATCACTCTTTCAATTAATAATTTTGTTCTTAATACTTACCTTCCAAAAAACTATCTGGTCTAGCAAAGTAAACATATTCAAATATACAAAATGCTGGAGCAGAATCATTTGGTCTTTTAACTATGCCAACGGATTTCGGTCCATGTTTCGTGATCTCAACAATTTCTCCGGGTTCTATTTCACGTAAAAATTTAGCAGAAACAGAAGGAAAGCAGCACGATTCGGATGAAACTACCCATCCGTCAATTTCTTCTAATTTGTTTTCTGTAATATTAAAAATAAGTAAGTAATCACATTATCAAATCCTTTGATTTAGATTTAAATTTTAAACTTGCCGTCACAATTACTACCCGCCGGAATCAATGTTCCGAGGCACAGTGGTCTATTTCCGTATGGATCTCTCACAGCATAAATTGTGTCATCACACATAATAAGTAAAGAATATGCAGTAGGAGTTATGGACATCAACTGCTGAATTCTTTCGGGCCATTTTGGTCCTTCAGGTTCTCCTCCGGGAGGAGGCATACTAAGCAACTGCGTCAATAGTTCACTATCTGATGCAGTAAACAACCCAACACCTTGACTCAATATCTAAACAGATTAAAATTCATTTTCTCATCATCCATTTTATATTAACAATCATAATATAAAAATAAACATACCTTTTCTCTCAAAACTTTAGCATTTACAAGTTGTCCGTTATGAGCCAGAGCCAATAACCCATGTTTTGTATGAACAACAAAAGGTTGAATGTTCTGATGCTCGGAAGCACCATGTGTCGAATATCTCGTATGTCCGATTCCCAGATTACCTTTAAGTTTCATGAGATCGTCTTCTTTAAAAACGCTGTTAACTAATCCCATTCCTTTGTGAACTGACACTTTCTTGGTATTGTCTCCTTTTGATGTTACTATTCCAGCACTCTCTTGACCTCTAAAAAACAGATTTAAATTACTATCATAGAAAAATGCATTTTATATGATTGAGAAACTTCTCTGACAAGTTTATATTTAAGATAATACCTGGAGAAAAGTATACAATATTGATACAATATAAAATGTGGCATAGAACAGGTGTGGCCAAATCTTGTTACAATTGTAAGCTCGCCAACCTGGTAGAGATTGGGGACTTAAAATCCCATTTCTCGGACACCACTATAAGGACACTAATTGGGGGGAGTTTTTTATTCCCTACCGTTGGGATGGCTTAAGGTCTATTCATACGAATATACCTTAAGCCATCCCGACGGTAGGGAAGCCATTCCGGTGGCAGTTTTGAGGAGACAGGAAAGACAAGTGTTTCGCAAAGAAACCGTTTATTTTTGATGAATATGCTTACATAATATTATCAAGATCCTGGGAATCAGAGTTCAGGGAGTTGCCTTCAGTTGTTTCTTCCTTTCGTTCCGGTCCAATGCTGACGGGCCCCGGGGTGGCAACACTTTAATTGTTCATATCTATATATATATAACCCATTCAACGGGTATCTGTCTGTCCCTTAACCGTTTGATAACAGACACTAGAGGCGACCCTATCGTGTGTCATATTTCAANGTTATTAAGCGTCAGAGTGGTTAGAATCAGAGTCAGATGGTTTAACACAGGAGTTAGTTATTAAGCGTCAGAGTGGTTAGAATCAGAGTCAGATGGTTTAACACAGGAGTTAGTTATTAAGCATCAGCGTGGTTGAACTAAATCATGTCCCCATACACATTCTAACATCATAGGCAAGAACATCTTAATAGGTTTTACTGTACTATTATAAAGTGACAAAAAAGCTTACTTTGAGGGTACAGACGAGTTTTACTTTTTATTTTTTAAATTTTGAACACTAATAACGAGTAAAATGTTCATTAAGAGATATGACACATGACCCCTTTTATGTCTTCACACTGTCGACCTTTAATCAAGAACCAAAATTTAATAGTATTAATGCCCCTTTATACGCAAGCTACAGTGCCACATTTCGTTTCTTAAACTTTACCCATTCTGAGATATTGTTTAATATCTCAGAACAGAAAATAAAGAAATTAAACAAATTAGACGCCAACACACACACGCATGCGAATTTTTCCTCTTTCATTGACTTTTTGGGGGGTTCGGGGGGTCTCCAAACATAGATTTGCAAAAGAAACACGGAGAGTTAAATTTGACACGATTTCAATACTTTTCCATTGTATATACATAACAAGTTGGGAAGTAAAAAGGAGTTGGAGTCGGCGGAATTTTTGACGACTCCGACTCCGGCTAAAACACTAAAACTCCACGACACCGACTCCACAGCCCTGGTTTTAGCATAAGAACAAAGTAATATGATATAAAATCTGTTAAGTTTAAAATATATACAAGCAGCTAAACCTTAAAAATTATGATTTCTTTTGAAAAAATTTAAAAACAAAACATTATTTTATAGTTCATTAAAAATAATTCACCATTCTAATTCTACGGGATACTTTCCAGTTAGACATGCAGTACAGTGACCTATTTCTTTTTCATTATTCTTTGAGATTCCTCTCTGAACCGCGCTGACGAGACCTTCAACAGATAAGTAGACGAGACTCGTGGCTTTCAAATAATTGGCTAACTGTTCTGGATTTAGTCGATTTGCAATCAACTCTTCTTTTGTCGGAATGTTAATGCCCATGTAGCACGGATAATGAAGTGGCGGAGATGCAATTCTGATGTGAACCTACAGAATAATAATAATATTAATAATCAGTATTTAAATAAGTAACTGTTCTGTAATCATTAGAAATAATTAAACATAATATAAAATTTGAAAAATATATTAAAAATTGTCAATTTAATTTAAGAATTTAATATTTGCATGGAACTAAAGTTTATGGACTTACTTCCTTTGCTCCTGCCTTTTTTAATAAGCTGATAATGGCTGCAGTCGTGTTTCCACGTACTATAGAATCATCAATCAATACTATTCGCTTTCCATAAAAATTATCTCTGAGAGGTCCAAATTTTTTGGCAACGGCAAGCTTTCTTAGACGTGCTGTAGGTTGAATGAACGTTCTTCCCACATATCTGTTCTTACACAAAACTTCAACATATGGAAGTCCAGACTAAAAACACAAAATTTCAAAATTATGTGGTTTTTTAGATAAAATTAAGAACACATTTTTAATTATCAACTAAATTTCACTTATAAATGCCCATTGTTTATACAAATTTCAATCTCAAAATTAATGTACAGATCTGTCATTTTTGAAAAATTCATAAATAAAACATAGTAAACTAAAGAATCCAATGATTAAGATTTACACAATCTTAATCATCAGATTCTTTCCAGTTTCACAGCAGTAATCAATACTAATGAACAGAAGTGGCCCTACATATAGGCAAAAAATAAAATTCAGCCTAGGGCCTCACAATTTTGGTAGTAAATTTTAGTACTTAAATCATCAAATTAGTAATTATGAAAAAAAAATTGTTGCAGTATCTGTCACATCTACAGAACAGTCATTTTTAAAGTTAAAATTGATAAAGAACTGCTTCTAATGTGTCAAGAGAGACTTTCAATCTTGCCCACTGAAAGAAATATCACAAATATGGCCATGGAGTTAGAGCAAGTTCATTGCTAGAAGGGTTGGTGTCAGTAAAAATGGACTGATTCCAATTCTTTTTTTTTTAATTATATAATCTATGTTAAGCTCTTGTTAGGTGCATTAACGTCAAGATTAAATCTGGTTCTCTTGAATACTTTATTAAAACAGCAGAGGGAAAGCATTTTGTAAGTAAACGTGTGGTTGAAGATGAGAGGTGATAATGAAAACCTGTGAAAAAAGATAAGTAGTTTCAGTTTTGATAAGATGTTTGATGATTCACTTAAAAAAGACTTAAAAGTAGTGCACTGATTCACTTGGTAGCAATGAAATGCATTCTGCATTAATACAATCAAAGTATATTTTAAATTATTATTTAGAGATGTGAGTCGAAGTCAGGGGCTTGGTCTACCAACTCCCAGCCCTGTACAAAACTCAGCCTTTCTTCTGAAATTGATGAAGTCAACCTTGCTAAAAGAAAGAGAGCAGGTTTGTAAGTGATTTCCTATACACATTTTTATTACATCTTTATGTGTTTTACTGTCTGTTTCTATATTAAAAATGTTCATATTATTAAAGGTTTAAATAAATCTACCCTGTACATCCATTGCACTTTTTAATTGGCCACAAAAATTAATTTTTGCTTAGGGCATTGCAAAGCTTAGGACCATCTCTACTTATTGAAATACTGAATCACAAAGCTTTTTAAGCTTTGTGATTCAGTATTTCAATGGTTTACTAATGGTAAACAAACAACAAAGACCTACTACATCTGGACTTCTATACATTCAAATGATTGTGTAAAAAAAGCTTTTATTTCATCATCACGTTATTATATACTTTTGTATTTATTTTATATTGAGGCCACTTTGTTGTTTGCTCGGGAGGAGGCTCGTTATACCTAGATGGCATTGCCTTATCATTTGACACAATGCTGTTTTGTTATCATTAAAATCTGAAGTTTTAACATATCTACAAGACACATTCTTTCGAAGATATCATAAAGGATTAAAATGTTGGTTTATGAAGATATGTTTGAAGAAAATGAAGGAGGAAAAGATAAGGACCAAATAACTACTGGATAACATAGATCTACTTTTCTGCAAATATATTTAATTAATTATGGAATTATGACGACACCTAATACCTCCCTCTAGGACAACTTATTTAGAAATTAATTAAATATAATCACAGAAAAGTAGTCAGATATTATCCAGTAGTTATTTGGCTTCTCACAAATATATTGGGTTTAGAGATGTTTGTATATGGATAAGGACCATATATAGAATAAAGAGAGTTGAGAAGGTTGAGATAAAACTAAAGTTGTCAGCAATTATTGCTCCAGAGTTTACGGAAGAGGTTGAAAGAAAGATTGACTCAATATATGAATACAATAGGAATAAGATTAAACTGAGATACGCTAAAAAGATGAAGTGGATATTGAAAAAGCATTTAGTTTGTTCAAGTATGGATTATAAAATTAGTTTGAATGTGGATAATATATTAGGTAACCAAATAAATAATGTCATTTTTGAAATGTGACTAAAAATGCTTGTATTTTTTAATAATATAAAATAATATAAATATTTTTTAATAATATAAAATAATTTTATTCATTAAACCAAACTTGATAGTTAGCGTTCAAAAAAACTAGAAATTTGAAAGTTATATTTGTAAAAATCTGCTGAGGATGAAAGGAAAGTCCTCCTGAAAAATTTTGGAAATTAAAATTGAAGTTATTTTGATTCCTTGAATGAGGTTTGAAGCTTTATAATTTATAATATAGTTATAATTTATAATACAGTTCAAAATAAAGAACATTATTTTGAACTGTAAGACTAGATATCTGCATCCATAAATTTCCAGTATAATAAGTCCTGTTAATATATAGAAAGTACTAGTATACAAAATAAATTATAAATAGTTAAAAAGGACAAAAAGGCATAATAATTAGAGATTTGAAGCTCTGCATTTTAATAATTTCTGAAACTATTAAAAGCATAAAAATTAGGTTAGTTGTTATTTTGTTTTAAATTCAATACCAAAAATAAATGGCAATGTTTATACACAATTTGTTATAAAATCATAATTTTGCTTACCTGTTGAGCAAATCCCAAAGCAGCTGGAGTTGCTGATTCTGGAACTGTGCTCACTAAATCAGCATTAACGGGAGCTTCTATGGCAAGCTGGCGACCACATTCTTCACGAACTCCATAAACCATTCTACCTGTACGGTATCGGTCAGCAAATGAATCATTGTAATCACTCTTTCAATTAATAATTTTGTTCTTAATACTTACCTTCCAAAAAACTATCTGGTCTAGCAAAGTAAACATATTCAAATATACAAAATGCTGGAGCAGAATCATTTGGTCTTTTAACTATGCCAACGGATTTCGGTCCATGTTTCGTGATCTCAACAATTTCTCCGGGTTCTATTTCACGTAAAAATTTAGCAGAAACAGAAGGAAAGCAGCACGATTCGGATGAAACTACCCATCCGTCAATTTCTTCTAATTTGTTTTCTGTAATATTAAAAATAAGTAAGTAATCACATTATCAAATCCTTTGATTTAGATTTAAATTTTAAACTTGCCGTCACAATTACTACCCGCCGGAATCAATGTTCCGAGGCACAGTGGTCTATTTCCGTATGGATCTCTCACAGCATAAATTGTGTCATCACACATAATAAGTAAAGAATATGCAGTAGGAGTTATGGACATCAACTGCTGAATTCTTTCGGGCCATTTTGGTCCTTCAGGTTCTCCTCCGGGAGGAGGCATACTAAGCAACTGCGTCAATAGTTCACTATCTGATGCAGTAAACAACCCAACACCTTGACTCAATATCTAAACAGATTAAAATTCATTTTCTCATCATCCATTTTATATTAACAATCATAATATAAAAATAAACATACCTTTTCTCTCAAAACTTTAGCATTTACAAGTTGTCCGTTATGAGCCAGAGCCAATAACCCATGTTTTGTATGAACAACAAAAGGTTGAATGTTCTGATGCTCGGAAGCACCATGTGTTGAATATCTCGTATGTCCGATTCCCAGATTACCTTTAAGTTTCATGAGATCGTCTTCTTTAAAAACGCTGTTAACTAATCCCATTCCTTTGTGAACTGACACTTTCTTGGTATTGTCTCCTTTTGATGTTACTATTCCAGCACTCTCTTGACCTCTAAAAAACAGATTTAAATTACTATCATAGAAAAATGCATTTTATATGATTGAGAAACTTCTCTGACAAGTTTATATTTAAGATAATACCTGGAGAAAAGTATACAATATTGATACAATATAAAATGTGGCATAGAACAGGTGTGGCCAAATCTTGTTACAATTGTAAGCTCGCCAACCTGGTAGAGATTGGGGACTTAAAATCCCATTTCTCGGACACCACTATAAGGACACTAATTGGGGGGAGTTTTTTATTCCCTACCGTTGGGATGGCTTAAGGTCTATTCATACGAATATACCTTAAGCCATCCCGACGGTAGGGAAGCCATTCCGGTGGCAGTTTTGAGGAGACAGGAAAGACAAGTGTTTCGCAAAGAAACCGTTTATTTTTGACGAATATGCTTACATAATATTATCAAGATCCTGGGAATCAGAGTTCAGGGAGTTGCCTTCAGTTGTTTCTTCCTTTCGTTCCGGTCCAATGCTGACGGGCCCCGGGGTGGCAACACTTTAATTGTTCATATCTATATATATATAACCCATTCAACGGGTATCTGTCTGTCCCTTAACCGTTTGATAACAGACACTAGAGGCGACCCTATCGTGTGTCATATTTCAAACATTCAAATTAACAATATAAATTTTTATTATTCATTTGGCCAATAAATTATTATTTGGTCAATATAACAATATAAATAATTCAGTATATTTGTAATAGGAATTTATTATTTCAGGGGCTTATATCTCTCCAAGGGTCACAAGTAGGGGTATGATTCCTTTGACTTTATTGTTAGTACAGGGGTCTATGGTTTGGGGGGTCGCCACCTCTTCATTCGAAGGGTAAATCTTACCATTCGGATTTTAACAGAGCTGTAGAGCATATTGATAGGAACAAAAAAGTCAAAGGAACCGTGCCTCATGGAAATTTGTAAAGAACGCCCACTAGGAGGCATCCCAAGCTACTAGTTTGGGAGAATCAGCACAAAAATGATGAACAGATGTATGATGAGCGATGATGGCACTAAAACCACAGGTAGACTAGAGGAGACCACCCTCTGTCCTTGACATCGGAGTTTTTATAAGTTTTTCGTGATCGAATCATCGCTAATCAGACGGACTTTTCTTTCACACTTTCTAATTGGTCTCCCACCTGTCTCCAGGTATAAATGGAGCTCTGTGTCGGTTGCGGGAAAGGTTGGCTAAAGATAGTCGATAGTAGATAGACACCTTCCTTTAGACTCTGATCACATTTAATCGATGACTATGACATGCATGCTCATTCTGATATTTTTCTAGTTTTGTTTTGCTTTCTAAACTGTGTCTTAAAATTTTAAATTCTCTTTTTAACTTTTCTATATCTAAAATTTTGTTTTTCCCTCTACTCTTTATGAGCATTGATGTGAAAGTCCAGTGTTGCCAATTCGACACTTATGTAATTTATTATCTTGAGGTTTAACTTAAAAATTTTTCTTTTTGGGGGGGCTATTTCTGGGGCCTAACACAATAGAAGCCATATGTTGCTTATCAGAAATATGCAAGAGCCACATTCTCTATTAGAACTGTATTATATATATAAAATATAAGTCTATAAAAAAAAAACATATGGGAGCCACAGTAAGGGTATAGTAGAGCCACTTGTAGCAGTTTTGACACCATGAGTATAGATGTTGCCTGTAAATTTTCACTCTCTCTAATGTATTTATCCAGCTGTTATTATAAAAATGATATAATAACAACTAATATTATAGTTTAGCAATCTGCTTGAGTCAAAGTGAATTATATTCCATTAATAAATAATCCAGAAAAGTCAAATATGTTCAGCAAAATCAAAATTTAAATCATTAATTTAGTCTCATTTATTCATTTTCAGATCCAAGAATGATATAAAGATGGCATCAAATTTTGTTTTTGGCTAATCAGTCATCACTTTGAGAAGGTATTTTCTTGTACTTGTTGATAAAATTAAACAGACTTTTATAACTCTTTGACAGTCAAGTAGGATAACATTATGATTCATTATAGTGGATCCCTGCTTAACATTATTAACTGGTGTAAAATAGAGTAATGTTATACAAAAGTATTGTTACACAAGTTGTATTTTTTACATATACTGGCTAAAGTTGGTGTTTGGTGCAAAAGTTCTGAAATCTACTAGCATAACTATAGCAACATAAAAGTTTCTTTTTGTCAGACAGATGACACACAGCTAATCTACATAAATAATATAAATTTAATGCTTTTAAATACAGTAATACCTCGACTTACGCTACCCCGACTTACACGAACCCAGAGTTACACGATTTTCAAATCTCGTCAATTCGTCTTTTGTTTGAGTGCCATGCAACTCTTGATTACTCACTCTCCCCCACACTATTGTTCAGCTTACACATTCGAACGTGTCACGCGGAATCGACATATAGCTACAATTTATTTTGTGTTATTTATTTCTGTGTTTGTTATATCTACGGAGACTTGAGAGACTCTATGTGGTGATTTCTTGTAACCGTAAACAAATCGAAAGATGAGATAAGATTAATGAGAACATTTATTAGCTTACATACATCCGACTTGGATTTTACACAAACTGCAAAATTATACCCCGACTTACACGAATTTAACTTACACATTTATCGCTTGGTCCCACCTATCACGTAAGTTTTGGGTATTACTGTACATTTCTAGTCTTTTTACGTAACTAAGTTCTAAAATTTTGACTGTTATATTTTTAATCCACAAGTTTAATATAAAAATCTGACAGAATAAATGATGTATTCATAACACATTCCTTGATAGAGAAAGTGCTTTCTGGGTCATAATTTTTCACTCCTGCTGAAAACTTTTTATTTGATTTTTAGTCAAGCATTCAAGAATTTCTAAAACACTTTAATTGTGAATTTTTACTCACTAAGTTCAAAACACCCCCTAAATTTAAGTTTAGATTGGCATAGAAACAGTTATGAAGTAATACGAATTGCCAGTTCATCCCCTTTCAGTGACTGTTTGACCAGTTTGTTAGAAGTTGAAAATATCATAATTTTTGAGAAACTTCAATTCGTTCAGCAAATCAAGTTCTAACTCAGTTTATCTTGAGTATTACAATGCAAACAACACTTCAGTTTGATTAATGCTTGTCTCATTCTTTTATAGTGCTTCATATGACAGTGTAAACTTAGCTTAACTTGTTAACATTGTGTATAAGAAAAGCCCATCCCCATATACAGTTACATTTTGCCAGTCAGATACATAGTCATGTAAGGAAGCATATTATACAAATGAATAGTTTCTTATGGAGGAATAATAGTTATGCAAGCATTGCATTATTTAAAGTCTATTGTAGTATTCTGTTCTTGGGACTGAAATTAAATGAAGGAAACTACATTTATTCAGATTTTTCTTACATTTTACAAACTACCAAAATTATGGAAACAGTCCTTTAATGATTTTATTGTAATCATACATTACATAGTAGATCAAGCCTAAATTATCAATTAATAACCAAATGATAACGGATTCATTATCAGACTACATAACCCGGCTAATCAGTACTATCTACATACTTAATTAGCCACATTATTACTTAATAATGATTCTGAAGTTATCATTTGATTAATCAAACATCTTACATTAACACAAACAAGCTTTTGAAATGGACTGTACACTAAGTAATACTCTATTATTATTTTCAATTACATGCCAATAATCTATTGTTTACAGATCACCGACGAACTGTATTTGGTAATAATCTAGTGTTGTTATGATTCCAGTTACATCAATTCTGAATTTAAGATGCACCCCAATTTTAATGAAGGGATTTTTAAAAAATCTATTAAAGAAACCAAAAATATATTTTCCTTTTCTATGATGGGCTTGTATTTGGTAAAGTACACCAGTGACCATGTGAATAAATTGAATGCCAAACAGGAATTCTAGTCGGGCTCTGGCCTTAGTTAGGCTAATGAGCGTTTTACAATAAATGCCGGCTAGAGTTTATTTTGAATGCCAAACATTAGTAATTGGTGCCAGGTTCACACTTGATCAACAGGCTGGCTGCATAATTTATGAATTTTTTTCAGCCATTTAACACCTAAATAGTTTCCCTTAGTAAATTCTCTGGAGGTACCTCTCCCTCAATAGTTCAGCCTTGGGTCACGTTACCTTATCCCAGCAAACAAACTTGTCTGACAGACAAAATACACTGGTCTGAGCCCACCTTTTCCAGAAATATTAAACCAAAACTGCTTTTTATTGAACAATCTTTAGTCAAGAAGTACACACACCTCTTTCCCATCTTGATTTCATTCTGTAATTTTGTTTTCTGACATTGTTAATATTTGACTTTACATTTACTTATTCCATTCCAAAAATGATCATTTCAAGACTTAAAATTAACAAAGAATCATATAAACTCATTTCAATTTTAATTTTAAAAAACACACATCTTAAATTTAAATTAATGTGACATTTAAATTAAGGTTAATGCAGTTTTTGAATAAGTGAATACTTTATCAAATGACAATTTATTTTCATATTATTACAAAAGTTTGAAAAATGCTATATCATTAAATAGTATTTTTTTTTATTCCACTACACAGGGTTTTCCAAAAGAGAATGCTACCATTTTAAATTACTGTAATTACATTAATTATTCTCTGAAAAGTATGCATTGTACTGTACATCAATTGATAGAGTAAATGTCCAAGTTTCATCTACCATCTGCATGCGAACATCCTTTTGTCTGTTGCCTTTAGAAAATGCCTTAAATAAAAATGGTGACTCTGTAACAGAAAAATTTTTGTGTTCTGCAGTTGACGAAGTTGGAATCACTTGTCATTGTGCAATGTAATTTTCAATGATTTTTTTGAGTTTTGCAGACAATTTCAAAGTGATCCACTATGAAAGAAAACATTCTTGTTGCACAATGACAACCGATTCCAACTCTACAAACTGCAGAGCATGAAACACCTATTCTATTGTGGAGTCACCATTTTCATTTACAGTCCTTCCGAGAGGCAATAGACAAAAAAACATTTGAATGCAGACAGAAGATGAAACTCACACATTTACTCTATCGATTGGTGTATGATACATACTTCTTGGATAATAATTAACATAATTACAATAATTTAAAATGGTAGCATTCTTTATGGAAGATCATGTTATTAATAATAATAATAATATTATTATTATTATATATAAATTTCTCTTCATTACGAAATACAAAATTATATAATTAAATATCTTATAAGGAAACAAGGTAAGTATATTCAATAACTTGGAATATTTGGCACATTACCAAAGGTCATCAATTTGGATCCCATCCAAGGTGAAACAATTTTTTCATCCAAGTTTTAGTTTATGTTCTACAATTTATGTTTTAAATGTTATTTATTTATTTAAAATTTCAATAAATTAATTAATTTGGAAGAAATTAAATTTCTCTTTTCCATAGATATTAGAAAAAAAAAATTAAATATCATCCTTCTAAACCGAATTTCATTAGTGATATATAATACAAGTGTCTTCTTCAAGAGATGTGTTCTTTGAGTATTTTCATTCATTTGTACTTTCGCTTTCCTTAAAGGAGTATTTCTACACATATAAATGATATTTTTAATTAAAAACTAAACTCATTAATGTTGAAGTAAGTCAAAGTAGTAACCTTTAAAATGAATAAATAGATGGGTTTGGAAATACTATCAGACAGCCATGAGTTATAATTCCTATGATTAGTCCAAAGAAACAAGAATTCTTGATTAAATAACTGGCATATGGAAATTATTCTTTCTCAAATCATTAAGTACAGTCGACCCCCGTATAAGATCATTGATTATTCCGTTTTATATGAATTCCATGTTGTACGAGTCACTTAAATTTTACAAATACGTGAGCCGTTCACAGCCCGGTACACATATTTGTAAAATTAAAGTGACTCGTACAACATGGAATTCATATAAAACGGAATAATCAATGATCTTATACGGGGGTCGACTGTATAACATTATATGATTTGACTGCACAAAAATATAACATGACATTTCATAATGGCAAAAGATTCCAAATGACTGGATTAGCATTTACGAAACTTGTTTCAATTTTCAGATCACACAAAGAATTAAAAAATTTTACATATAAATGATCACATATTCTCAACAGTACATCTGATGGTTATTTAGATTAAATCAAATTAATACTCATAGATTTCATTTAATAAATAATGTGTTCAATCATTTTACAATATTTTACAATAAATTTACAGATAATTTGTGCTGTCATTTCAATTAAAATTTTTTAAAACCAACAGCCGAATGAAAAAGACAATTCAATTATTCAAATATAATTTTTATTAATATGGGAATGCATTTCAGGTACACAGACCCTTCATAATTCCATTTAAATGTGTATTTGGGCTAGAAGTGTACTTAATTTAGTCAATTAAATTTTTTAAATTTTAAGTTGTTTGTTTTGTTTTTTGTTTGATCTCATTCTACTAATACATTCCAAATACATTAATTCACTAATAAAATTCTGAATTCTTAATACTTTAAACCAATTTATTCTGGAAACTTTTGCAATGGAAAATAAAAATAAATTCAAATTTCATGTAATCATGTGACTATTCAAAATTTAAATTCAACCAATTTATATCCATACTTTCTATTGTTCTCTTGGCACTTATCCTCTATTTACCATCAGTGTAGATTCCCAAAAGCATTTTCCAGACTGCCATGCTTCTAAACTACAATGACAAAATTTGTTGACTTTGTACATTTGACAAAATTCAGAAGCAAGTGTTTCATTACAATAGCATCAATTTGATAAGAAACTCGATACTGTCTTGTTAAGTTGCAATTTGAAAAAATTGTAAATAAATTCCCACTGTTGTCTGTCCATCCGTGTTTCCTTAATCTTGAGAACAGAGTTTGATAGACAAAAGACAAGACCATATTTGGAAACCTCAGAAGCAGGAGGCCCTGATAAGTCTTATCAGGACTACATAAGAATTTCCAATGCAAACCAGATGTCATGTTATTTCAATTCAAAAATTTTTCCACGAAAGGTGTTAGATAGACAACTGGCACGACTCTATTGTTTTAATTAAAGGAAAAGTATGACGTACGAAAGCAAGCCACTACTAATTTGAGACGGAGAGAATATATTTTAAATTAAACAAATTAAAAATTGCAGTAATATATTGTGACTATGTCACAATAAATAACTGCTCAATTAGATTGGGATTATTGTAAAAATTTTTCATAATTGTGCCATAAAAACAGCCAAACACTAAAAATTATATAAAATGCTTTGTTATATGTTTACGTAAATAAATAAGATATTAATTGCATTTCTGGTTAATATATTTTGTATATTCATCATTGAAAGTTAAGGCTCAAGAAAGTGTAAAAAAAAGCAAACACAAATTATAATTTACACAATTCATTACCAGAGTAATAAACATAAATAAATTTACAAAATTAATAATAGCTTTCCAGCCTTGTTCATCTTCATATCAAATTTCTGTTATTCCAATTTTTCAAATAATACATGACGCTACTTGTTGTCAAGCTCCGGTCAAATAAAGCCTGCTAAACACTTTATAATAATTATGCATGCATATGCCAAAAAATTGGAACAACAAACTTCATCTGAAAATGAGTACTGTTTTGAAGGAACATACCAATTTTACAAGTTTAGTTGTTTTCACTATATTAAAGCATTTTCTTGTTTATTATATTTTGGAATTTTGAATTTACATTTGCTAAATCATGATGACTAAGTACAAAATGATAAATATTAAACACCAAACTCTGCAATTTGTCAATAACCATCATTATTTAGTCTAAAATAGTGAAATAAATAAAATAATATTCAGGATAATATTAAGATATATTATTTATGTTTTATAGTATATAACAATCAGTAAATTTTCAAGGTTTCTAATGTAAATCTCAAGTTTCAGTATAAAATGTCATGTATTTTTTACACTTAGTTATATAATATTTTAAATTTAATTAAATATAATTTAAATAATACACAAAAAATCGTATTTAAGTTTATTTAGTGAGGAATTTGCACAAATCTGGTTGTTAATATGTTATAATATTAGAAACAAATTGAATTTTTACCTGTGTTGAAGACCAATCAAGCCAATGTGTATAATGTGAGCGACGTCGACATTTGTGGGCCATTCTCCAGTCGACATACAACCAAATAATCCACAAGCTTCCTGTAACTCATCCATAGAATGTGTAAACAAAATTAAATCGTAAACATGAAATCAAACACAGGTAAAAAAACCGCGAATAAACCCACGTGGGATCTTACTTAGAATTCACCTGTAGAGGGCAGTACTAAAACTCATGTTAACGAAAAAATTATAACTTAAAAATTTGTTTAATTATCGTAAAATTATTTTATAATTTATTATTAAACTGATTTATTAAATAAATAATGGTATTTAATTAATTAAAAACGTTTTCGAGCTTTTTGATTATTTTAATTTAAAAAGTGATATAATTTGATAATAATAGATGGCGCAAGCTTTAGAAAATGAACGTCCATATTTAGTCCGTTTAACTGTATGGTATTCACATTTGGCAATCTTTAATATAAATTTTTATCTTTCTATGTAATAAAGGAAATATAAACATTTTTCTGCATTAGCATTTTATAAATCCTAATATTCAATTGATAAAATAGCAACAACTGGACTAAATATGACAAATCGGCGGCTTAGCGGACGGCTTAAGAAATTATATACTGTACTGTAGTCATGTACTTAACATTTACGGCTTTTAACACCAAACATACTTTTATGAAATAAATAAATTAAGACAATCTGCTATCTGAATAGCATAGAAGTCATAACGAAAGCCTGAAATTGAGATATATTCTATGGTTATGATGCTATTAAATCCTAATAATTGGGGTAAAACGACAGACACGGGTTTCAACTGTAAGAAGCCGGAATCGATTCGGCTTATAGTAATATCTTAAGAGGTTTCGATCACCCAAATCACCTTTAAATCACTATAACACCTTACGGCGATTATAAATATACATAGAACAGCGGCCATCCGGCCGACACGCTCTAAACGTAAAATCAAATGTGCTAGAATAACTTGCGTTAAAAAAATCTTTAAACGCTTTGACGTTAAATTAATTTTATTTAATAATTATTTAATTTAATGAACCTTTTTATTAAAATAAATTAAATTAATTTTTGTGTTCAAGAAAGGAAAAAAAAAACAATTTAGTTTTATTCCGAAAGGGGGCACAGGTATCGTTAAAATGGCGGTGTCTAGATGCAGTGAGTACTTTGTATATATCATATAATTGTATCTTGACCATTTTTTCCATCGTCTGACCAGTTCTTAGGCTCTTTATACGCTTAGAACTGCATTTTAAGGCATTTAATGCGCGAAAGGAAGCGATAAGAGGCGAAATTTCGGATCCAATTTAAAAAAAAGTCATTCTCCGGGTTATCGTCTTACCGGCGCCCGAGACACAATTATACCGATTTAGGACGATAAAAGTGTTTTATTGGTAAAAATAAATATCTCAGAGCTCCAAATCTGCTTAGCAGCATTCCTGTGAGCGGAGTAGATAAGAAAAATGCGGATTTTCGTTCGAAGCCCATCTATTCGAATTAATAAACAGGAAATAAAAATGCACGTTGCTCGTGCATTGCGGCGCGTGTACGTCACCGCTACCTGTAAACAATAAGTTCTAGATATGTTAGCACAGGTTAAATAATAAAATCCAGTAATCCCTTTGAGTAAGATGAGAACTCTGAACGAGAGATTTGCCAGCCTCCAGATTTATAGATCCTCTGGTACTTGCAGAACAATTGGTGGAACCGTACCTTTATGTGTGATCTTTTGCAAGATATTCGTCCCTCGAAGGTCAATTTTTACCATGAACTGGTATACTGCCGATTCTCCGTGTTCCGCACAAAGTAGTGCTTGCTTTCGCTCGCACCGTAGGCTGAGCTCCTGCGCCCCTCCGAAACGGCCCGATTTGAGCTTCAAATAACGCAGTTGGGACCTTATCGGAGCTGTAGAGAAGTGGTTCTTAATCTTTTTATACTTGTGGCCCATCAAGTATTTCATCATTTTTTGTGACCCCCATTTTTTTAATAATAATTTATATTTGTTAAATTATCTATAATAAATTGATTTTTTATTATTACTTTATTTTGTTATATAATAAATGTAAAACATAACTTTATTATTTCATTATCTATTTAAATAATATTCAAACTTCACAATTAAACATAAAAACTAATTAATTTTTAACAAAAAATAAAATAAGAAACATTTAAAAATTCATAGAAAAAACAAAAAATATTCAAAAATAATTTAATGAGATTTCTGCTGCTGAATAAGAAATAAATAAATTAATTCAATTAAATATGAAAACTTTATATTTCTTATTTCACTTTTCAATATGCTATTCGATTATACAGCAATTCATCAATTTTCTTTATTATATTCTGAAGGAAATTTTGCATAATTTGGTGGCCCCCAGAAAACTTCTTATGGACCCCAGGGGGCTGCAGCCCCCCTTTAAGAAACACTGCTTTAGAGTATTTTCATAGGAGCAAAAAATTTGAAGAAACTGTACTTCTACAAGTAACCCTTTGCAAGATACAGCTTCCCCAAAATTAGGTCACACAAGATTGCAAGTCACATCACTCCTCTCTGCTAGGACTATTGCTAACTATTTAGCCCACGTGACTATGCTGGCTTTGAGTAGCCCGCTTGACTATTTGTGAAGTACTTGATGTTATAACTATATAGGCTTGCTATTACTCACACCTCTGCCTGGTGGGGTGAACTTTGATGACACAAAGCATGGAGAATAGGCAGTATACTGATATTTGTTAAAAACTGACCTTTTGAGGCAAATATCTCTTGAATGATCATGTGTATAGGTATGGTTCCTTTGACTTTTATCCTCATATAGGGGACTACAATTTTAGGAGTCCCAACCACATCATTCGGAGCTTGAATCTTACCCCTAAAACTATATAACAGTCAGGCCCACCAGTAGCCAAGCTATCTTCTTACCCCGAACACAGGGAGTTTGGTCATGGGTTCTCACCTCACTCAGACAGGCTGGCCATGTGGAGTTTTCTGGTTTTCTCAAAACCGTAATGCCTAAATAAAGGCCAGTTTCCCTTAAAAGACCTCTCGAAAGGCATCCCCCCTAGGCAGATTGTCCAAGTATTGCATTGCCATAACTTAACAAACAAACATATAACAATCAAGTGGGCTGTGTAAAGCTGGCACGGTCATGCATGCTAAATAGTTAAATGTGATAATACTCTTCCAATGTGACTTTCAATTGCCTGTGACTTGGAAGTGAGCCGATTTTGGGGGCCCGAGGGTCACGTGTACAGGTGTGGTTCCTTTGACTTTTTTGCTTCTACAGATTTGGTCTATGGCTCTGATAAGGTCCCAACTTTCCGTTCATAGGTGTAATAAAACATCCGTAAGTGTTTGCCACAATGGTACCAATGGTATGGCAGTTATAAGGTACTGTACATATCCATAATGAACCAAACTTTCGAATGGCATAAGAGGCAGTCTGTTGTATGTGTGCACATTCTCAATATAAATTGGAGAATGGCACCTTTATTTTAATTAGTAATTTTGGAATAGTTTGGATAACAAAAAGAAAGAACTTTTTTGATTTATTTCTTTTTAATTTTTCTCTTCTCTTTGGCCTGCTTTGTTTTGTATTAAACACTTATAATAATACTCTTTGGCCAGTGTTCTATATACATAAAATTAAATTTGATGATGTGTTCAGATCTAACACTATGATTATTTATTCATTTATTTATTTTCTTTATGACCAAAGTAACTCTTGCTTTAAATTTTATATTGTTCAGAAACAACTCAAGTCGGTCGAGAGTTACTTTCGACCCAATCTGTTATTTTTGTCGGCTGTTTCTGGCTTTCTGCTTTTGATTATGTCGACTAATGGCAGCTTGGAACTTGTGTGACTTGCCAATTCTTAATGTCCCTACCATAAAAGTTTGATGGATGCAAACTTTTCTTACAGATATGATGCAGAATTTATAAGCACACTATACAGATATGGTTTTGGTTACAGAATTTATAACCCAGCCTTTAACCTTCAAGATTATAGCTAATGTACAAGCAACAAAATTAGTGGTATTCGGCAGAACTTTTTTTGAGTCTTATGCAAAATTGCATTGTAAAAATTTAATTTTTCATCAGTAATTTAATAAGTAATACTTATGATAGTATAAATATAACATGCGTATCTGTAGCTTTACAATTCACACAAAAGAATCATTTATGATGGTGAAAAAAAGGTTAAAAAAAAAAATTACTCCACTTGACTGATGCAGCTACAGTCTAGTAGAGAACATTCTTTTCTGGATTTGCTGGCATTATTACTAAAAACACAAATGAAATGCGGGTGAGGTTAAGAACATTTATTAAGGAACATTTATTAAAACCAATTTTGTTTTTTAGCCCTAATAGAAAAATAGGCCTTTGTCATTTTAAGTAGATCTAATTGCCATATTGCAGCATAACATTTATGTGGCTATAAAATATATTCTTTCAGTTAAATAAATATGATTTATTTAACTGAAAGAACAAAGTTTTGTAAAATTATGCATAAAATATTGAGAAGTAACATTAAATTTACTGATAAATAATTTAAAATACATTATCATTCATTTATACAGTATTATCATCATTAACCTTAAATTTGTGTCTTCAGATCCAGTTTTATATAGACTAGGAATAGGTGATATAATGGATGAAGATGACTGGTTTAAATCTTCATCATTCATTTAAAAACTAGATTGTAAGGTTTATTTTTATTTACTGATTAATATTGGGTTGTTCGGAAAGTAATTTTGTTTTTTTTCCGTGGAAAAAAAAAACAATATTTTTATAATAAATAAATATTTTGTTGAATTATTTATTTTGGTCAAATATCTGTTATCATCGTTTCTGGTAGTAGCATGATTTCACGTTCATAAAAGTTTTGATCGTTGCTTACAAAAAACTGATCCAAGTGATTTTTGACATTGTCATTTCAAGTAAATGTCTTACAGTTAAAAAAAATTGTATAGGCCAAAACAAGTAATAATCCGGGTGTGCTCAATCTGGCGAGTATGGTTGGTGCGATAGCATGTCCTATCTAAGATATAATGGTTTCTGACCAGTTACCAAACTTGTGTGAAATTTGACGTTATTGTGGTAAAACACTACACCTGTTTTGTTGATCAATTCTGACGGCCTTTTCTGTTTGATGATATTACTCAATTTGCTTAGTCGACGGCAGTACACTTTCGAATCAATTGTTAAATTGTCTGATAAAAGCTCCAAAAAAAATTTCCTTAAAATCCCACCAAAGAGAGCATCTCTCTTTAAGAACATGTGGAACCCATATATCAAGCTTTGAAACAAAACCAATTTGTTTCAAGTAATCATAAACAGTTCAATTTGACAAATTTAATCTCTTAGTGATTTCACGTGTTGTTATTCGACAGTTTGTTTCAATCGGTACCTTTTATTTTGTTTTCATTGGCTTCAATTGGCCATCCATAACGTGGTACATCTTCAATACTGAAATTGCAAGAATGAAATTTTGTAAACCAGTTTTGGCACTGTCGTTCTGTCAACACATCTCCACTGTATGTGTCACACGATATTTTTCTTGCTTGAACAGCATTTTTTATTTTTTTTGGTAATAAAAAGCAAAATATTCCGAAAATGATGCTTTCAATCTTTTGTGTTTGATGAGACACAAAAAATAAACAATTGCACAAAATCAAACAAACTTTTTTACAAATAAGCCTTAAAATGCTAGCTGTCAAAATATATAATGATAATACGGTTTAGAATAAAAATGGAAGGAAAAATACAACTAATCCGTCTAGTGGTAAAAAAAAACGAAATTACTTTCCAAACAACCTAATATGTGTAATGATGTTAATAGATTGGATTATCATTTGGTTAACCAGAAAATAAAAAGTTGAATGATTTTGGATTAATGGGATGTGGCAATGCAACATGCGGACACTCTGCTTAGGGAATGTCTCCCAGAAGTTTTTCTACTAAAAACTGACACCTATTTAGGTGTTAGAGACATAAATCTGAGATGTAAACAAAATAAAATTGTTACTTTTTTCAATGGTTTTGGCTTATCTTTAAAAAGTGGACAGACATTTAATTTCTAGCACGAGAAATTTATGCCATTGTATATTAAATATAGGGAAAGTTAACTGATGAGGAACATGTATTATAACTATTGGGATTGACTATTGCTAATTGAAAACATCATATTTTGTCAAAAATAAACACTGCAAAAACCTAACAAACCAGCAATAAAATTATACACAAAGTGCGAACATTTTCGCCTATGTTAAACGGGAATCGTCAGGCAACAAACTGCTGTGAAGATAGAGGGGATTGCCAAACATATGTGGTGTATGCAGCAGTTTGTTGCCTGATTTAACATGGGCAAAAACATTTGCACTTTGTGTGTAATTTTATTGCTGGTTTGTTAAGTTTTTGCAGTGTTTATTTTTGTCTAATATTAACCAGTTGTTAAATCATATTTTTTATAATCCTTATTACATTTGTTATATTAATATATATTTAAAAGATTAAACAAGTCACAGTGGAAAACAGTATATAACCAAATTAAAATCAGAAATAATGAACATTTACAAACTTATAATACCAGTGCTTACTATAAAGAAAAAGAATTTAGTAGCATGAATAGAGGCAAATTTATCTTCTTATGAATATTACAGAATACTCTTGTTAATCCAGCCTCTTAATTATCCGGCATTCCTCACTCCCTGTATACTTCCAATTCCATGAAAATGTTAGTCATATCACACATCTTGTGTTCCCGTATATTCAAGTTTTGTTTCTGTGTACATTTATTGCATGTCAGCATACCATGTTATTTGCCCATTTGCCTCCAAAAAGAATTTGTACCAAAGAGTGACAGGTTGTGTCATTCACTACCTTTAGGCAGAATAATAACTCACACAAACACCTTTACTTCCCAGTTTTTCAATTAAAGAAATGTTTTTTGCTTCATCAATAGACTTTCCTCAAGTTAACAACTGAATTAAAACATTTCAATAACTGACATTTGAATGTAAGAGTGTTATAATTTAGTTATTAACCTGAAGGGGATCTATTAATGAGGCCAAACACATTCCTTTAATTAAAAAAGTGGTGCTGGGAAGTAAAGATGTTGTTGTATGAGGGACAGACTTCTTTCCAATTTTGGTTTTTATCCTTTAGGCCTATACAGTTTCAGTCTCTGTTCAAGGAATGGCCAGATTAGCAAGAGTATAGTGTACTTTAGTGTAGTTTCTAAACTGATTTTTTTGCTCATTTTCATTTGACGCGTTGTTCTCTTTTCAAAACTGGATGTATACAATAAGTGAAATTGTCTAAAATGTCAACTAGTATGGAGAATTTGCATAAATTATAGCATTGCCTCTCTCTTCAGAATGGGACATTGGTTTATATTGTGTAGGATTCATTTATTATGTAAGATTTTACTAAATGTTAATAAATATGGTACTCATTATATCAGAAAAAAGTTTTTTGGATGTTATTTATAAGGCTATATCATCTGCAGATTAATTTTTTCCTTGTCTATACACACAGGTAAAATTTTTAATCTAATTACTACAAAGTTCCTTATTGTTTGTCTTTGGATGAACTCTAAGGCTAAGACTCCACTACCATAAAAACCCCTCGCCGTAAAAGCTTTTAATCACGTGACCCTGATATCTTACGCCTGAGCAGGCCGTAAAACCAGCGTAAAAGCGAGTTGAGCTATGTTCAACTTTCGACACGAATACGGCCATAAAGGGGTACCTTCAACCAATCAGAAATCAGTGGAACTACGTCATCGTGACATCATGCGAAAATTGCGGGAAACGAGCTTTTGTGTACATTCTATCATGGCTTCTTCAAAAAGACCACGAATTGATTTGGAGAAATTTATTGAAAATATTCGTAAATATCCATGTTTATATGACAAGAGGCATCCTGATTACAAGAATGTTTGCCTAAAACATGCGATATGGACGGCCATAGGAAAGTCCTACGATTTAGGTGAGTACATATTAAAAAAGCTAAGCCATAGCATGCTAACAATAGTATCTTAATTAATAATATGATATTAAAGATATTTTTACTAAATTTGAAATTATAGTAAAAAATCGTAGAATATAATCGTTATCTTTTTAAAGATGTATCACATATACAATTTTATATTGTACAGTACATACACAGGTTTTTACTTAAGTGGGAGAACTTTATTATAAGAATTTGATTTAATCATGCTGGACGTTTCAGATAATTTTTTTTTCTTTATATTATTACAAATTTTAATTCATTTAATTAATATTTACTATGCATTTTAGACTGCTCTATTTGATTATCAGTCCCTCTTCAGATGTGAATTATTATTATTAACAATATTTCTATATTATCTACTTAAATAATAATATAAAATATACAGTTCTTAAAAAATTAATTATAAAATATTGAAATATTTTTTCTACTTTATTACATTTTCTTTCTTGTGACAATTCTCTGTTTTTTTATTTATTTATTATGTTTCCAAAAAGTTTTTGATTGATTTTATTTTAATATAATAACTCATTATTCAAAACAAACTCTCATTCATTTTAATTAACAATTAACATTTTTTCATGAGAACATACAATCCTAATTTTAATTCATTAGAAATCCATTAATACTTTCTTTTCTTAACTATCATAATCTGGACAACTAATATGATTCAAATATTTACACTGTTCAGGCACAGTATTGCAAAAAACATGTCATTTATTCTTTTTCTTTAATTCAATTAGTTCCAAATATTCATATTTCCTTTTTATTTTTTTCCCCTTTTAATTATTTTTCTATATGAATTCCTTTTATTATTTCACAATCATTTAAGTTTTAGTGTTTTACAACTGCTGAATTATGATGATTGTATTTAATTATGGTTATATCTCGTGTTCATTTACAAGTTTTTAATTTTCTGTTTGTTTACCTATATACAAGTATGTCACTGGAATAATACAATTACAGTTAAATTTATATACTAAATTATTCTGTTCTAAAATTAAATTTTATTATATTTGAGTGTGTTGTCAGAAATTTATCAAGCAATAAATTAGTTGAGTATGATATGGATTATTTTTGTATTGTATTTTAGTGCTTAAAATGCATGTGATTAAATGAATAGTGAAAAAGTTGTACAAAGGCTTCACTTCTATAAACTTTTTATGTTACAGATGCTTCCAGTGCTGAAAGCCGCTGGAAAACACAGCGCAATCGTTACACAAGAGAGAATAAAAAGGTGGAAGACAGCAAAAGAACTGGAAGTGGTAGGGATGACATATATGTATTGCAATGGTACTTATATAATGTCATCGATGGGTTTATGAGGCGCTGTCCTCAAACAAATGAAGAGTAAGTATTTTAGGTTAAAAAAGAATACATTTTATGGATGAAGCAAGAATTTTTATATTCAATTTTGTATAAATACAGAACCATCAACAACATATCACCAATTTTATCAATAGCAGCAGAAGATCCACCAGAAGATATTCAGCCTCTTTATGCTGAGGCAGTAGAGTTTTCCTGTCCCAGTGACAGTGAAGTATTTCTTTCTGGGTAAGCACTCCAATAGTTATTCACTGATTGCCTTTTGCCTTTTTACCTACTCCTGCTTTTTACCTGTTATAGGCCTTCATCAGCATCAGCATCATCACAATTACCAGTGGAAGCTTAAGAGAGCAGGTACTGTACATACATTCAGTCTGTACTATTCTAAAGCTTTTTGTTTGTATGTTAATACATTTGTGATATATACTTTGTACTTTACAGCACTTTTTCACATTATTCAAAACATGGTAGAAAATCTGATCCACAAATGAAAGAATTATTGGCAGTGTTTAGAATGTCTGCTGAAACCATGCAGCAAGCAAATGCTGCAATACAAAAAAACAAATCGCATATAAAACCGTTCTGCGAGTTTGTTGAAAGTATGCTGGCTAAAATGAGCAGCAAAAATCAAAGAACGGCAATGAAAAGAATTCAGGACATTCTTTTTGAGATTGATGCTGTGAATGATGAAGAGAATCAGCAAATAAAATAAATTACATTGATCTATTGAATTCATTATGTATATTAATTTTGCTATATTAATAAATTTTTTTTGAAAACCTATATTTGTTATAATGTCTTTAAAACACAAGAGTAATAAAAATAATTCTTTATTGAACCTTAGTAATAAAAAATATGGTAGTCTATTGCCTATGGCAAGACCCAGTGGTACATAGATAGTCTGCTAATTTATTCCTCAATTCTCTTGCTTCAGTAGAGTACATGTTGCTTGCTACCTGTGTGCAACTTCTCATTTGATCATGTGTTGCTCTCCACCTCCCTGGGATAAGGTTGCCATGTTCATCTTCTGAATCACAATCTCCAGTATTAATGTAACAAGCTGACTCTCTTATAAGAAAATTGTGTAAGATGCAAGCTGCCAATACCATCTTTGTCATGTTATCTTCACTGTATGTTAATGGTCGTTTGAAGATTCAAAAACGAGAACTTAAAATGCCAAAAGCATTTTCCACTACTCGATGAGCACGACACAGTCTATAGTTATAGACTCGTTGTGATCAGCTAATAGCTGAGCATCTGGGATATGGTCGCATCAAATTTCTTTTTAGTGGGAAAGCTTCATCACCAATGAAATAAAAAGGAAACATAATTTCAGAATTTGGCAAGTAATCATCATTAGGCAAGTTTAATCTGCAGGTTTCCATCATTTGGCCAAACTGAACTTTTCTAAATATTCCTCCATCACTCTCGCTTCCATAGTGTCCATAGTCTATATACAAAAATTTATGATTGGCATCTGCCACTGCTAGCAACACATTACTAAATGTTCCTTTGTAATTAAAGTTTAAACTTCCACTATTTTTTGGACAAACCATCAACACATGTTTTTCATCAATGCTACCGCAGCAATGTAGCAATTGCCAAGCTTTTAAAAAATTTTCTGCAATACCTTTCCATTCATTTGGTGTTGAGGGAAATTGCATGCAGTCTGATTTTAAGTGAGTCCAAAGAGCATGGCAAGTTTCTGGAACAATTTTTGCTATTGTTTGTCTGCCAACTCTAAAGGCAAATGACAAACTTCTGTACGTTTCCCCTGATGCTAAAAATCTGAAAAAATACATGATAAAATGAACTTTTTAAACCAATTAAAACAGATTAAGCTAGTCAGTCATTAGCTCTAATCATATAAAATGTACCTTAAAGTTATTCCTAAGCGTTCTCTGGCTGAAATTGCTTCTCTAAAACATGTGTT